TTCATACGCTTATACTTGCATCCGATCACAGCCCTGTAAGCGCTAAAATTAGATCGGATCCATTCGACTGTTGTGTCATTGTTATTAGTAGAGAAAGACAAGGAAAAGGAGGACCTACACGAAATTATAGAAAAGTGATTGACCCACTTGTGGATTACGTTTGGATTCATATAGAGGGCGACCCACTATTTCTCTCATGCTACTATGGCTTACTAGAAACGAATATAAATCTAGGTCGATTATATATGATATGACACTTCCCTCGTCGTACAAGGTTAATCTCTGGTCATATAGTTTTAAAACACGTTTTGTAAGTCGGCTAGCTCAAATGGGTTATCGTCTTTGCATTTAGACTACAATAAATGGGGTAGATTATTCTAGGACAAGAATATACGAATCAAGAAACTGACTTATACTCCTAGCACTACTGCTCTACCGATAGAGATAGTGGTTTTTCTATTACAGGCTATGAAGTAAGAGAAATCGTAAGATAATTCCTTTATACTTGTACAAAGGAGAGGTTCTATAGTATCATCTAAGCTAAATGTAGGCATATATATTTAGTCAATACCTATTATCACTAGTCATATAGTTTTTGGATGACCCATTGAATTAGCTTCCAAGCGAATCATTCATCGGCCAACAAGCTACGAAAGGACGGATTGTAAGGGAATTTTGGGGAGCGACCTTCCAGTAGCCACTCTCCAATCCTGCTAACAGAGCCGAGCGCCGCCGTATATGGTAGGAGAGGTGCCTTGGTAAATCGAGGCTCAAGTAGTAATGCTAGCGCTCTAGAGTATGCACTATATTACTTTGCTCCTGTGAAAGATATGTCTTAGAATCATTACAGATACTTCTTCCACCCTTGAGTGTAGACCGGATAATGATTATTAAAAGTTATTGAGAGGATAGCTCGCGACCTGAGAAGAAGATATTCAGTTTACAAGTAGTAGTGACATTACTATATAGCTTTGACAAGGCTTATTGATTTAGCTCTAAACCCTTGCATTACTCTAGTCTTCTAGTTAATGTGTATCCCATTCATCGGATTCCCGAGCATGCTACGTATTAAGGAGCTCGAACTTCTAACTCTTTCTACTGATATAGATAAGATAGTAGTAGTATGGGAAACATTGTATGTAATAGTCCATACGTATCTAAGCTATAGATCTACTAAGCAGGTCACCCACTTGCTAGGAAGAATTTAGTTTTATAGATAGAGAGCATTGTCCTACGTGAATCACTTGTAGCTTCTCAAACGTTGTTTATAACAAACAATCTTACTGCTCTACTTATAAGATTAGTATAGGCAAACCTTAGGCAGATTAGTGGGTGAAGGGTTATGTACAATATGCTATCTTCTTCTATTGCTCGTTACATTGAATCTTCTCGTTCCTCTCGATTGGAAGGTTCTATCCAAACAATACCCGTGTAGAGAGTACAAAAGCTCTCCATTAGAAAAGATGCAAGCACCTAAGTTTATATCGAGAACAGCAGCACTCTCTGAACTACATACAACCTTCATAGTATAGTAACAAGAAAGTGGTACGACTTGCTTGTTCAAATCTGGCACTATATTGGAGCTGGACAATAGTATCGATTCATATGCTATTAAGAACTTTATTAAGAACTTTACGTGCAAGGAGAGGGGTTTTATCTGTAAGTGCTCATCTCTATCTCATTGAGGCTATTGTTCATTAATGCTACTGAAATGAGCGAGGTATTTACCTCGTTTATTTAATATGATTCTACTCTTTGCATTACAGTCCATCCGCGCTTCATATCCACTACGTGTATGTCCTGTAGCTGAGGAGTTGTTTCAAGTTAAGGTACGTTCAAATGATCCGGATACTATATACTTTTAACTGTGTTACTCGATATAGACTCTATCTACCCGATAAAAATGATAGCACACCTACATTGTGTCTTTATTCAAACCAAGCCATATTAGACGTGCAAGATGGTCGCAATGATTTCTCTAGCTAGCTTCTTCTTAGAGAAATGGATTTTAAAAGCAGGGGAAGTGGGTCATGAAGAGAACATTTCTGCTATTCACCAGCTACGCTAAGTAGACAGAGTTAGATGCAATCACATTACGGGCCTGCAATAATAAACACAAGCTATGGGAGAAATACAACCTTCTCTAAGCATTAATATATATTGGGGTGAGCTCTATCTAATAAAGTATGAGATAGCTTTTTAAATCTGATCTATGGACCACATGACAATTCTACACCTTACTGATATTAGTTGTAAGTACCGTGATGAATCCTTTTCTAAAGAGTGTATCTCGGAGAATCTTGAAGGATGTTTCGGTAAGAGAACAAATAGACGTAATATAGTATTGTTATTATCTATAGCACGCTGTACCTATATATACATGTTTAGCGGGTCTCCCAGCCTATCGTATAATAAAACCATGCCTACTGGCTGGACGAAAGATTACATGCTGCGGTTAAAGCGCGCTAGAGCAGCGCCTCCGTTCTGCATACTTCGCGTCCCGAACTCAGCGCTCACCGGCCAACCTTGTCAAAGGTGAAACATAACTATAGCACGCTCTACTAGACAATCTAAGCTTATCAAATTTCCAATAGTGTACCGTGTGAAAAGAAATTACACCAGAAGGCTAGGCAAACAACACTCGTATTGTTTAGGCTTTCTGGAGCAGCGCCTGTGTTTAATTTGCTCGACGGCTAACATTTATTTCTCTTCGACTGACCTCCATTCAAGGACGCGATACAGTATGTCGCGATCAATTACTAGTAATAATACGCAGAGTGTACTAGATACGTAGATCAATAGGGTGATTTCTTCGGACTAAGCGCTATATGCTCTGCGTACGAAGTGCTAGCTTCGCAGTAATCAATCAAAGTAGCTCCGCGGTGCCGTGGTAACTCCTGGCTCTTGAAATTACTCTGGCAATGGGAAGGAAGGTATGGCTGACAATTGTTATCAAAGTATAGGCGATGAATTCTAAGGAATATTCTAGTGTCTCTTATCAGTGTCTCTTATCAGAGAAGGCTTGATTACTATAAGACTAATTGTGCTCTGTGCGGAGCACTATGAGAACTTAATATATCACTAACCCTGATTCTTTCTGTCTAATATACTACAGTTTTGCGGCTTATAGAATTGAATGCATAAGTCAAATTAATTATAACGCCTTAAGTTTAGTAATCTATATAAATCCTCTTCAGAGCTTAGGTTATCGTTACACGAAGTTTATAACTTAGTAAGAATATTCATTAAAGCACATAATATAATGCTTATTCTTTTGTCTACATCGCCTGTAGTCACTTCCCAGTCTCGATCTCTTCTGTGTCGAGATTTCCCAAACTTGGTTCCCTTAGCTTGGTTTGTTATACAAGCTATACATACCTACCCTACCTTTTCGAATTCAAAGCTTTACAGGCTTTAAATGTAGCACTATTAAGCTCCTAGTCTTTTACACTTTGTAGACTTAGTAAAACAAATATAAACATACTATCTGTTTCTATCTGTTTCTATCTGTGTCTATCTCTGTAAGACTAGGCGAAGGGAAAGGTGAGGGAGTAATAGATGTGTTATTAGTTGTGCATACGACGCTGGAATGGGGTCTCGAAACGATAATGCCAATCTTGGCTTTTTAAATCAGGCCGGGAAGATACCCTGTGTAGCAGAGGCCAGGCAAGCCCAGCAAGAGATGTTACCTTGTACTCGGATATATCTTCGCCAGTGTCTATTTGATCTCGCGTGATGACAATAGCGGCCTTGAATGCTGTGCCAGTGCAGGGCAGACAAGAATCATGGGTTTCCTCGTTTCTTTGATGTATTTATAGCTTGAGACCATTGATTTCGTGATACAGAACAGAACCACACACACAAATACACAACCTTGTCACCACCTCTTTCTAAAATGTTCGCATCTAAGTGCCTAGTCACCTCAAAAACAGTCTCATTCGATCCGCCATGCCATGATCAGAAGAATCCTCATGATTACTACGTCAACAAAGCGTTGTTGACGTGGCTGGCTCCCCCAATATGTGTCGCGCCTGCTGGTCTGCGAATGCCCTCATTACACACCCGCGCGCGCACACCGCGCCGGACAATACCGCCGAACATCGCAAGCAGTGAACTCCCTTTGGTCGTGGTGGTTTGTTTCCACCATGATCAGGAGAATCCTTACCTGCCCCAGTTCAATGCTATATATCGCTCCACCTTGTCGATATTGTACGCCGCGAGGAAGCCCGTCAGGCTCTCGGATGACAAATACACTATCCTCCAAAGCTAGGTTTACTTCGGCATTTCGAAAGTATAATATCCTGACAGACATAGCAGACAGTGACAGTGGAACATGGAGCCCGAAAACCATCCATCCCAGCACATACGACCATAGGATCGAGAAAATTGAGGGTCCCGTCCGCTCCCCTGTACACAAGCTCGATACCGCCGGATCAGTAGTTGGGTCGGTGACGACCAGCGAATCCCCGGTGTTGTATGTTTTTGGCCCAGCCGAGAATTGCCCTTTTTGTTTCGAAGTAATGCTGGCCCGTGGGACACGGCTCCCTATCTTTTGTCCTTGTACAACACCCCAAACTCGCCTGCTTGCATTGTCTAAAATGAGCGCAATCTAGTTGGGTCTCGGGCAACACAGCCCGGATGTCCCTCGAAGCACGGCGAGTGGAGCACCAACTCAACTGCGCTGGTATTATTTGGCGCCAGCCACCAGCTGATGGTCACTCCAGTATCCATGCATCACATTGCTTTATCGCACAAGAGGCGTCGAATTCTGGGTGTGCCGTGCGTGCGGTGCCGCGATGACTGGTCGTGGCACGCTAGCGCGATATTGGTCTAGCTTACCCGCTTTTCCCGCCGGAGTGGGGCACCGAAACCCCTGCCGAGCCCGCCACCACGGATCCGGGTGCGGGGCGGCGGGAAAAAGAACACATATCCCGCAACCCACGACCAACAAAACGAGCATTCTGCAGTCCAAAAAGAATGCAGCGATGGAGCAAAATGAAAGTTCCGAACGTGGATCGAACACGTGACCTTAGGATGATTGCTGCATGCTCGAAGAGCCGCTGCAATCCCACGCTCTACCGCTGAGCTACCGAAACCGTTGTTGGGAAAACTTGGAGTTTATACGGCATTATGTCGAAAGCGAAACACTTCAGGACGCGAGCGAGAGCCCTGGAAACTCGCTTGGCTTCTGGGAATAAACTGGGATAGTAGCCATGTGCACCGGATCTTTTTGTGATCACTGGTGCTGCATGCACACCTGCCCGGGCACGCACATCGTGGTAAAGTAGCGCGAAAGCAACTCAACTCTAACAGTACTCAGCTATCAGCATTGTACAATGCCGGTCGCAAGCAATGCGTGATGCTCTTCCCAAGTCCATCGTTAGCTGCAGCAATACCGTAATTTCTATCCTTGAGTGCTGTCCACTGGCCTCATGTGAGCTCATGAAGTGCGGAGCCGGGCTGCTAGAGCTCCTGCTGGGTCCGAAGGATAGAGGCACGGCAGGTTTGACGTGTCGAAATACCTCTTGACTCGGTGTAGCAAACTCGAGCAGTGTTGCTGACTCCATGGTGCATAACCAGAGACACGACAAGTACTTCGTAGGGGTAGCTCTCGCCCAGGTTCTTCGGGTCAGCCGCGTTAGACCGGTACTCCGCTTAAGCAAATATGCTTGCTGGTGTCACCCTTGCAAGCAAGGGATTGACTGGTGCAATGTGTGTCCGTGCCGATGTCGGTGAGTGCCCGCCATTTTTTGTGCTGTGCCCCTCGTCCAGGCACATGCAGTAGGTAACAATTCTAGGGAAAGGTTGCTTGAGAGTAGTGCCAGACTCTTGCATTCGCCAAACCTTTGCCAGCAGCAAACAATCGCTGGCCTGAAACGGCCTGCAGTGGTCATGACGGAAAGTCATGCGACGAGCCGTTGTCGCAATTGGCGCTCTGTGGTGTGCAATGGATGGTGTTGACTCGCTGGCCTTGCTGGGGTGATTCTGCTGTGGACGACCGGTGCTTGGCTGAGTCACAAAGCACGGCAGAAACCAATAAAAGTCACCGAAGCTGCCGGTGTGTGCCTGGCACCTGCCTCAGGAGCAGAGATGGACGTGCCTGCCGACTGTCGATTAAACTCTGAATTGGTTCGGCTACTTTTCTGACCCTCACCGCCCACTTCTTCCAAGTTAGCCCCGGGCAGAGAGCACCCCAGCTTTGCAGTTCAGAGCTCCGCTCCGGACAGCGGCCTCCCTCCTCGCGTCTTTCCTCACCCACAACCACCACCTCCCCCGATTCGTGATGTTCACCAGTTGTTGCCATTGAGCCTGCAACCCCTGGACCTCGACGCTTCCTCCATACCATGGCGTCCCAGCCCCCGCCGGGCGACCAGCTGGCGCCCACGCGCATCACCATCCTCGGCTCCGACTCGATCGTTGTCGACCACGGCCTCTGGCGCCACTTCGTCGCCGGCGATCTCCTCGACAACATCGCCTCTTCCACTTACGTCCTCATCACCGACACCAACCTCCGCGACCGCTACGTCCCCGCCTTCCAGCATGCCTTCGCTGCCGCTATCAACACCCGTGGCGGCGACGCCCGGCTCCTTACCTACACCGTGCCCCCAGGCGAGACCTCAAAGGGCCGCCAGACAAAGGCAGATATTGAGGACTGGATGCTCTCCCAGCGCTGCACCCGTGACACCGTCGTTATTGCTCTCGGCGGCGGCGTCATTGGCGACATGATTGGCTATGTCGCTGCTACCTTTATGCGCGGCGTCCGCTTTGTCCAGGTGCCCACCACGCTCTTGGCCATGGTCGACTCCTCCATTGGCGGCAAGACGGCGATCGACACTCCCATGGGAAAGAACCTCATCGGCGCCTTCTGGCAGCCGCAGCGCATCTACATAGACCTGACCTTCCTCGAGACGCTGCCTGTCCGCGAGTTCATCAACGGCATGGCCGAGGTCGTCAAGACCGCCGCCATCTGGGATGAGCAAGAATTCGACTTCCTCGAGGCCAATGCCTCCCTCATCCTCGAGACCATCCGTGCCAAGCCTGCGTCCTCTGCTGCCGAGGCAGGCCGCCTGACGCCGATTCGTGATATACTGAAGCGCATCGTTTTCGCCTCAGCCCGTGTCAAGGCAGAGGTCGTGTCCAAGGACGAGAAGGAAGGTGGCCTCCGCAACCTCCTCAACTTTGGCCACTCCATTGGCCACGCGTATGAGGCTATCCTCACACCCCAGGTCCTTCACGGCGAGTGTGTCGCCATCGGCATGGTAAAGGAGGCAGAACTTGCACGCTACCTCGGCGTACTTAGCCCCAGCGCAGTTGCGCGCCTCGTCAAGTGCATCGCGAGCTACGACCTGCCCACCTCGCTCCAGGACAAGCGCGTTGTCAAGCTGACTGCCGGCAAGCGCTGCCCGGTCGACACTCTGTTGACCAAGATGGCGGTTGACAAGAAGAACGAAGGCGCCAAGAAGAAGATCGTCCTCCTGAAGGCTATTGGTCAAACCTACGAGCCCCGTGCCACAGTCGTCCACGACTCGGCCATCTCCGTCGTCCTCTCACCAGCAGTCATGGTACAGCCTGGCGTGCCAGAGGGTCTCAACGTCAGTGTCACACCACCAGGATCCAAGAGCATCTCCAACAGGGCCCTTGTCCTGGCTGCTCTCGGGGAGGGCACGTGCCGCATCAAGAATCTGCTGCACTCCGACGACGTGGAGTTCATGCTTGCCGCGATCAGCAAGCTCAACGGGGCGACGTACACTTGGGAAGAGTCCGGCGAGGTGCTGGCCATTACTGGTCGTGGAGGCAAGCTGCAGGCCAGCAGCGAGGAGCTGTACCTCGGAAACGCCGGTACCGCCTCTCGCTTCCTCACAAGCGTTGTGGCTCTCTGCGCGCCCTCGAAAGCTACATCTACGGTCCTCACCGGTAATGCTCGCATGAAGCTAAGACCAATCGGCCCTCTTGTTGACACACTGCGCGCCAATGGCATCAAGATCGAATACCTGGGCAAGGAGCACAGCTTGCCCGTCCAGGTCGACGCCGCTGGCGGCATTGATGGCGGCGACATCGAGCTCGCAGCAACTATCTCCTCGCAGTACGTGTCTTCGCTGCTCATGTGTGCCCCCTACGCCAAGAAGCCTGTCACCCTACGCCTCGTTGGTGGCAAGCCCATTTCGCAGCTCTACATCGACATGACAATCGAAATGATGAAGGCTTTTGGTGTGTCTGTCATCAGGTCGCAAGATGAGCCACACACCTACCGCATTCCTCAGGGCACCTACCGCAACCCGGAGGAGTATGTCGTGGAGAGTGACGCGAGCTCGGCCACCTACCCTTTGGCAATGGCTGCCATTACGGGGACGACTTGTACCATTCCGAACATCGGCTCTGCATCGCTCCAAGGCGATGCACGTTTTGCCATAGATGTGCTGCGACCCATGGGCTGCAAGGTCGAGCAGACGGCTACCTCCACCACGGTGACGGGCCCCAAGCCTGGTGGCCTCAAGGGCATCACGGTCGACATGGAGCCCATGACGGATGCATTCTTGACCGCCTCTGTTCTTGCTGCTGTTGCGACTGGCGAAACCACAATTACGGGGATCGCGAACCAGCGTGTCAAGGAGTGCAACCGCATCGCTGCCATGCGCATACAGCTCGACAAGTTCGGAGTGCACTGCAAGGAGCTGGAGGATGGCATCATCGTCGCAGGCAAGTCGTTCGCGGAGCTGACGAGGCCGACCGACGGCATCTACTGCTACGACGACCATCGCGTAGCCATGAGCTTTAGTGTGCTCTCCAGTGCTGTGCCTTTCCCTGTCCTCGTTCTTGAACGCGAATGCACGGGGAAGACCTGGCCTGGCTGGTGGGACGTCCTCAGCCAATCTTTCAAGGTGAAGCTGGAGGGCAGCGACACCGACGCACATGCTGCCGCAGCAGCCTTGAAAGGCCCTTCCTCGCCCTCAATCTTTGTCATCGGCATGAGGGGCGCCGGAAAGACTACTGCTGGCGGCTGGCTGGCGAGGATCCTCGGCCGGCCCTTCATTGACCTCGACCAGGAGCTCGAGCGAAGATCGGGCATGACGATTCCACAAATCATCACCGAGTCCGGACGTGGCTGGGAAGGCTTCCGCGAGGACGAGGCGAAGCTGCTCAAGGACGTCATGACGCAGCAGGGCCAAGGTCATGTTTTCTCTTGCGGTGGCGGGATCGTCGAGACACCCCAATCGCGTGAACTACTCGAGGCTTATTGTGCCAACGGTGGTGTTGTGCTGTTGGTCAGTCGAAACATCGAGCAGATGGTGGAATACCTCAAGCGCGATAAGACTCGACCTGCCTACACGGAGGAGATCCGCGGCGTGTACGAGCGACGCAAGCAGTTTTACCAAGATTGCAGCAACTACGAGTACCACAGCCCACATCTTGACGCGTCAGGTGGGTTGGTGGAGGCTCCTGAGGATTTCACTCGTTTTGTTACTCTCATTAGTGGTCAGAGCACCCATCTTGAGACCGTCAAGGCAAAGAAACCGTCCTTCTTTGTCTCTCTGACCGTGCCAAATGTGACCATGTCGCTCGCGGTCATTCCTCGGATCGTTGTTGGCTCAGATGCAGTCGAGCTTCGCGTCGATCTGCTCGATGATCTCTCGCCAGAGTCCGTGGCTGCCCAGATTGCCGCGCTCCGTTCTGCGGCCAAGATCCCCGTCGTCTTCACGCTGCGATCGAAGGAACAGGGTGGGCGTTTCACTTACAAGTCCGAAGCTGAGCTGCTGCAACTATACAGAGTTGCCATGCGGGTCGGTGTTGAGTACATCGACCTCGAGATGGGACTTTCCGACGAGATATTGGACGCCATTCTCCAGCACCGTCCATCTTCTACCACGGTCATTGCATCTCATCACGACCCACATGGGCAATTGGACTGGAAAACTGGCAGCTGGCAGCAATGGTACAATCGTGCTCTACAGTATGGTGATATCATCAAGCTTGTGGGTGTTGCGTCAAGAGTCGAGGACAATTTTGCCCTTGCTGCCTTCAAGGAGCAGATGTTCGCTGCGCACGGCAAGCCAATTATTGCTATCAACATGGGCGCTCTTGGCAAACTATCGCGGAT